GTGAGCAACATGCGCCATGCAAATTGTGGTCACGCAGTATCATATGCATCATATACATTCAAGTTGCATGTTTTAATTCAAACAATGAAATTATGGCAATAGTTTCTGTCAGTTACTTCTTTATTAAGTGTGTTTGTCCGCTTTCAGTGAAAAACTCAAAAGTCATGTAACCAAAAGTGTAGCATATTAACATAGCTGTTTAAACAATGGTTTGTATAAATTATGGCAAAGCATGAACTGCAATGTGACGGTGTCCTTACTGAGGCACCATCGGAGGTTAGCATAACCATTCTCTGTATGTCCACTTCATGCTTGGAGTAAAACTGAGTTATTGCCTGCACGATATCCTGAGCAGTGCATGTTGTCAGCTGGACTATTCCACCAAACACAGTTTAATGATTGAAACTATTTTTCTCTCTGTATTTAATGGACAAGACAAGCATTTTGTGCACCGTTATGTCTGTGCTCTCATCTACTATAAGGTTGTGCCAAGGTGCATCTTTAACACTGCACATCGTCTCATTCTGTACTATTGCATTGATTGAATCCACAAATTCAAAAGCATAGTTTTTACTTCGCCAACTGTCTGGTATACTCACATACTTTGCCATGTGGTCGTGAATTTGTTGTACCGACAGCATTGATGCATTCACTTTGATGGTTTGTACAACATTGTCGATAAGGATTTTTGACTTGCTCGGGGTTGCATTTATTTACGATTGACAGCTCGTTCTCGGTCTTTGGGGCTCTCTGACAATAACGTACCGATCCCCATTCCCATCTTGCATCGTTGTACAATTTTTACTGCATTCAAATGATTTTTGTGCTGAATGTGACGCTTGAGGTAGTCCATTTTCCATTCGCTCCACACTTTTCCCTCCGAAAACTCGCTTGCTACTTTAGCTTCGCAACACGTTTTACAGAGTACACCTTTCCACAGTGAACAATGTCATGACGTAAATGCGTGAGCGAATCGCGTCAAATAACAACCTGGAACAGCCAATCACATGTTGCATAATACAGAATAAATTATGCATTTATTTTATTTTCAATACTGGTTGGATTTTTACTTTGTGGGCAGTTCAGATATTTTGTGTGCAGACACGCAGGGGGCAGTGCGCATTTGCTCACAAACCATGCTTAGAGGGAACCGTGCATGGACCCAGTGTACCCAATGCACCAGGCCCTGGTGAGCCAAGGGAACCTGCTTGGCCAACATGACCAACTCCTCCGTGCTCTGGTGGATAGCAGCCAGTGTGCATCAGCCCATATATCTGAGTCGTCTCGTCAGATCTCCACGCTTGCCTCCTCAGTACAAGACTCCAGGCTCCCTTTGCTGGCTCAAGTGACACCTCCCTCGACAACCTGCCGGAACATTCATGTGAGTGACCCAGACCCCTTCTCTAGGGACTTGGAAAGATGTTAAGGCTTCCTACTCCAGTGTGGACTCGTTGTCATTGGGCTTTTTCAGGGCAGGGCGCTAGCATGGGCTGAAGCCATGACCACTGACAGTGAGGTCTTTAAAATGAACTATTCCGACTTTGTTGCCAGACTCAGGACTGTGTTTGACTACCCCAACTCTGCTGTGGACACTCCTAATCGACTCCTGGAGCTGCTGCAAGGTAACTGCTCTGTGGCTGACTTCTGTTAATTTTTGGACCCTGGCAGCAGAGGCTCGGTGGAATGACGTCGCGCTATGGGCGGCTTTCACTGAAAGTCGAAGCGAGAAGGTCAAGGATGATTTGGTGACTAGGGACGTGCCTTCCGACTTGCCTGCGTTAGTGTCTCTCTCCATCAGGATAGGCAATAGGTTGCGTGAGAGGCAAAGACAAAGGACATCTCGGGTCCAACAGTCCACGAACTAGCCAGGCCAACTTCCAGCCGACCCTGTGGAGGAAGAGCCCATGCAAATGGTCGAGCCAAGCTCACTCCGGAAAAGCGCCTCCACTTGCTGGTGAGTGTCTCTATTGCGGTAAACCGGGTCATTACGTTAACACTTGTCCTTCCAGACCAAGAGGGGGAGGCTGTTTATAGGAGTGGGAGTCCTGACGAGCATCCAGCTTGTTAAAATTCCCTGAGCCACCCGTCTATCTGTGCCAGCCACACTATGTGTATTTAACACTGTTTTCCCACTCCAGGCTCTAATTGTTTCAGGGGCAGAAGACAATTTTTTTAGATACCAACTCACGAAGCAGTTGGGGTGAACTGGAGCCATTGGAGAAGCCTATACCAGCTGTGGGCATTGATGGTGAGGTCTTAACTCAGGTGGGCCAAAGGAACTACCCCATCATGCTAGTTCTGTCCGACACCCATCACGAAAGACTTGCTCTCGATAATCTCTCGAATCGCTCTATATAACCCTCTAGTGCTTGGCTAACCCCGGCTGCAGTTACATAACCCTCATATTGATTGTTACTTACAAGATTGTTGGTTGGAGCACAAATTGTCACTCCATTTGTCTGCAGTCTGCATTCCTCTCTTCACCTGATTTGTTCCACATTCCTCCTGAATATCATGACCCTAGGGAAGTCTTCAGTAAAACGAGGGCTCTGTCCCTACCTTCTCATCGTCCCTACGATTGTGCCATTGATCTGCTTCCTGGCGCCCCCCTGCTGGCCAGTTGTTTATACCATCTATCACGACCTGGAGAGAGGCGATGGAAACCTACATCTGAGTCCTTGGCAGCTGGACTCATTAGGCCCTCCTCTTCGCCTTTCGGAGCAGGATTCTTTTTTTTGGTGCCAAAAAGGACAAGACACTCCGGCCCTGTATAGCTTTCAGAGGTTTCAACAGCATTATGGTGAAGAACATATACCCCCTGCCTTGAATGAACTCTGCTTTCAACCTCCTACAATGTGCAAGGATCTTCACAAAGTTGGAAGTCCGTAATGCATATCACCTGGTGTGTGTAAAGGAAGGGGCTGAGTGGAAGACTGCCTTCAAGACACCAAGAGGCCATTTCGAGTACTTCGTTGTGCCTTTTGTCCTAACCAATGCGCCCGCTGTGTTCCAGGCTTTGATTAATGAGATTCTGCGTGACTTTCTGAACCACTTCGTTTTTATATTTGTATGACATATTAATTTTTTCCCCCGAGACCCAGAGTTACATATCTCCCATGTGAGGTTACTGGAAAACAGCATTTTTGTCAAAGTTGAGAAATGTGAGCACAGTGGCTTTATTTTGGGCCATATTCATCCAGGAGAGACGAGTTTGTTTGGCCCAAACAAGATTCGGGCCGTGGAGGAGTGGACAGTCCCACAGAAGGAAGTCAACACTTCCTGGGGTTCGCAAACTTCTACCGGTGCTTTATTCAGGACAGTAGGGTTGACTCACCACTAACAGACTGGCCTTTAACCAACTCAAATACCTAATCACCACAACCCCTGTCCTAGTCTGGCCAGCAAGCAATTCATTGTAGAGGTTGACATCTCCGATTCTGGGGTTGGAGCGGTACCATCCCAGCGGGGAGGTTCCAGAGAACGCCTGAATCCTTGTGCCTTCTCTTCCCATCATTTGTCTCCCACTGAACGCAATTATGATGTAGGCGACCGGGAGTTACTCGCAGTTAAACTAGCACAGGTCATTATTGTTATTATTATTATCATTATTATTTATCATCATCATCATCATCATGCTCACATACGAACACGAAGCCTGACGCCTTCTTCTCCGAGAAACCTACTGAACCCCCCCAAGACCATCCTTATCCCTGGATGTGTTGTCGCTGCCCTGACATGGGAGATTGAAGACAGCACAGCGTCAGCAACCCAATCCTGGTACAGGTCCTAAGAGCAAACTTTTTGTTCCAAACTCCGTCCGTTCCCAACTTCTCTTGTGGGCCCACACCTCGAAGTTTGCCTGCCAACCGCACCCTGACCATGCTCAAGAAATAGTTTTGGTGGCATGGAGAAGGACACCCGGGCATTTGTTGCTACTTGTGCTCGCAGCAAGGCATCCCATCAGGCCCCAGCTGGATTACTCCACCCCTTGCCTAACCCCAAAAGACCCTGGTCTGTCCACATAGAACTAGACTTTGTCACTGGCTTGCCTCCATCCGAAGGTAAGACCACTATTATGACTGTTGAAGACCGCTTTTCCAAAGCGGCTCATTTTTTCTTCCCTTACTAAACTCCCCTTGGCTTTGGAAACGGCCAAACATTTAGTCCACCAGGTATTTAGGGTGCATGGCCTCCCCCTCGACATCGTCTCAGACCAGGGTCCCCAGTTCATATCATGGGTGTGGAGGGCTCTTTGTAAATCTATTGGATCGGGGGCCAGTCTGTCTTCTGGGTATCAGCCCCAGTCCGATGATCAGACGGAGAGGGCTAACCAGGTGTTTGAGAACGAACTCCCTCTGATGCATGGCTGAGAAGGACCCCTCTACAGGGAGTCCCATTTGGCATGGGTAGAATATGCTTACAATAGCCTTACCAGCTCAGCTAGTGTGTGTGTGTGTGTGTGTGTGTGTGTGTGTGTGTGTGTGTGTGTGTGTGTGTGTGTGTGTGTGTGTGTGAGAAAATGCAATGAAAGAACTAAACAATATCCTCAGGAGCACAATATGTATTTTTTTTACTACTTGTTCAAGTGGCCAGCTATTGAAGGTTTGTACATTTTACAAATAAAAACTAATTAACATTGACTGTTGAATAGTTTCAAGTGCAACTGCATTAATAGAGGCCTTATCAGAGTGATCCCTAAAATGGAACAAAGAGAAAATGTGGATGTAGTGGGCTGAAATGGGGGGAGCAGGGGGTTGCTCCATGGAAAGAATGGAGAGGGGAGGAGCACGTAAGGGACGGACCAAACTCAGACATCTGGAAACTTTTGAAACTAGAGTAAAGCTTACCAGATGGAAAAATACATGAAGTCAAAAGGTTGAGAATCAGGAAAGAAGACAACCTAAATGGGGGAAGAAAAGCACAGCAGAGAACAGTGAAGAAGGCTTCTTGAAACGTTTGTCTGCTTCAGGGACTCTCCTCCTGAAGAGGACCTGGAAAGAAAGAGGAAAACAAAGGGATTTGCAAGTTTGGGAATACAAAACGGAACCTAACAGCAACAACAGGCAGGACGGAAACACATCCTCAAGGTAAACTCAGATGTACTGCACAGATTCTAAATCTGTTCATCGTTTTTTAATCACATAGCATGAAAATAGCATGCACACCATTTTTTTTTTCACTGACACTGAAAAAGTTGTGCACCATAACTATGGTCACATAATTTACACAATTGTTTCGACTGTGTCTTTTATACATTCAACAAGTGAATGGAGTTAATGCATGTTTGGAAGTATATGAAAACATTTTCATCACCTTCTGTATTTTGTTGATTGTCAAACAATTCAGTTCAATGTTTAAGATCTCAAAACATCAGTTCTGTGTCCACTCCTACTTCTCAGTGATTAATATCTGTCTCAGCTAACCCTCTTGTGGTGCAATGAATCATTTGGGGTTCTTCCTCTTGTCTGCATTGTCAAATTCAATATTGTTACTTTCATGAGAGTCAGGGAGCTATCCTCAGATCAAGATTCATTTTATGGTCATTGACAACAATAGAGTGGGGGAAGGGCAGCAACATTTACTGTACGGATCTCATTGCATTCTTTGGATCAGAGCAGAGCAAAGTCATTTGATGGCTTTGTCACTGGATAAAGTGTTTTATGTTTTGCTGTTGTCAAAAAGAGCACGCCTGAAATTAATTGATCGCAAGTTTTAAAATGAAACGTCATAAGGGAAGCAGTGGCTCTGGAACCTTAGGCGTTTAAATTAGTACAAAACACCTACCAAAAAAAAAAAAGTATTACTTCATTTTAAATTAAATGATTAAGTAAGTTTGAGTTCTGGAAAAGCCACCCCCCCCAAAAAAAAGATTTTTTTTCTTTTTTTTACTACTGTCAATTATTTTTGTATTTCCCAGCCTTTTTAATTACAAGCAATCAATAACGCCTAAACGTCCAACAACATCTGTGAATAAAAGGTTTCTGATTTGCAATGCAATAAAGTTTGTTGAATGTAGGATCACGTGTGTGTGTGTGTGTGTGTGTGTGTGTGTGTGTGTGTGTGTGTGTGCGTGTGTGTGTGTGTGTGTGTGTGTATATGTATATATATATCTGTATTTCAGCTGCGTACAAAAATAAGTTGCTTCTTAGTCAGTGTTTTTTTTTTTTTCAAATATGGTACATATTATGGTAAGAGGGAGGCCCAGTCGTTCGCGCGCCGACGTCACAGTGCAGAGGTCGTGGGTTCGATCCCAGCTCCGGCCTTCCTGTGTGGAGGTTGCCTGGTCTCCCCGGACCTACGTGGGTTTTCTTCAGGTACTCCGGTTTCCTCCCACATTCCAAAAACATGCATGGCAGTCTGATTGAAAGCTCAAAATTGTCCCTAGGTGTGAGTGTGAGCACAGATGGTTGTTCGTTTTTGTGTGCCCTGCGATTGGCTGGCATCCGGTTCAGGGCGTCCCCCATCGACTGCCTGAAGACAGCTGGGATAGGCTCCAGCACGCCCCACAACCCTTGTGAGGAAAAAGCGGATCGTAAAATGGATGGATTATGGAAAGATTTTTTCATAAAGAATCTCGCAGATCTATGAAACCTTCAATAAACTGATTGAACAAACACACTTCAAAATGCAAATTGGGATGTGATGAGTGATTGTGATACCTTATGAACACAGTAGCGTATTGCTGTTAAAACAAACAGAGCACAAATTAAAATGTCATGTTGTTACTACGCACCAGTAATTGTTAGCTGACGGGCACTCCTTTGTGTCACAAGTTTGGTGCGGCCACGGGAAATGCCCGCAGTAGTATAATTAGGTCTATTGAGAAGGGAAGGGAGCTTCCTTCCCGTCAGCAATTTGACTTCCTGTATGAGGTCAGTCATCAGACTGAAGACCTTTCAGGTTCACATTCACAAACAAACGGATGCATGGACAAAAGCTGTGCACATCTTCATCTTGACACGAAGTTGTAGCTCTGTCGATCAAGGTGGGGCTGTACAAACCAACTCATGAAGACAAGGAAATGTCTCACTATGTAACCATGTCAAGGAAACTCAATTAAAGAAGGCAGCACTGAGACTATCAGTGGTGCCAACTTAGCAACTTTCTCACTATTTTTAAGCGAGTTTTCAGACCCCTCTAGCGACTCTTTCAAAAAAGCGCCGACCGACAAATTTAGCGACTTATTCTGGTATTATTGGAGACTCTGATGTGAAAGCACGTATCGTTCTTATTGTTCTTGACATTCAGCGGGTGCTTCCTTCAGCCTCTCCCCTTTCCAGGGCCCTCACAGGTGGCCCAATCCTCTCAAACCACTAAAGGGGGTGTGAGTAACAAATTCACAAAAATAATGAAACTGAATTGGTACCTCGTATTAGTTACCGTTATTTTCTCAACTGCCATTGGGATGTGTTCTATTGTCTGTTTTCCGTTACATTGTCAATGCAGATTGTACAGAAAGAATATCGGTTAGTATGTTCATGTTTCATTGGAACTAAAAAAAAAAAACGAAAAAACAAAAAACAAACTTAAAAAAAATTAAAAATTAAAAAAAGGAACTAAAAAACAAACTTAAATAAATGCAAACTAAAAAAAGAACTAAATACAAACAAACAAACAAAAAAAACTTTAGAAAACACAACAAAACAAAAAACAAATAACTCCACTTTCGTGCCTCTATTGCAGGGGTGCCCAAACATTTTTGATCTAAGATCTACTTTTCGATCAACCAACCTCCTGAGATTGACTCGCATGCACGCATATGCACACACTTACACACGCATGCCATGATGAGCAACAGCTTTTACGGCCCTTAAGATGAATGAAACAGAAAAATAAAGGAGACACAAGGGATTATGAGTTTGTGAAAAGGTAATCACTGCCCACCTTCATCGAGACCTGACTCGGAGACATGGGACTCACTTTTGCAACGTGTTAACGCTCGTAGCTCACGTTTTAAAATGCTTCTCTCGGCCCTCCAGATTGCCATTCTTTGCGAGTGTCATCGGTGAATTGTACACAAAATGAACTTTGGCTGATGTAATAATAAAAATTATATTAACAATGATGATAAAAGCTATATTGCACCAGATCTGATCGCAGGCTGCAATTGCAGACTACCTAGCTCGAAGGCCAAATCTGCATTTGCATATTTATTAAACATTGACCCACCGAATCCCAAATTCATTCGAATGGTTAATTGCACAAATTTAAAAACATAAAATGAACATATCTTTAAAACCTGATTTGCTCGAAAAAAAAAAAAAAAGTAAAAACATATTTGAAATCATTATCCAAAATACAATTCGGGACTCACAAAGCCATCTCTGATTAAAATTTCCTCTTAACCAGTGTTATTAATGTAGTGAGAGTTATGATGAGCTTTTATTGATTGTTAACAAAGTATTGTCAATGTACTGACACATTGTAAATCCAAGGAAGGAGTACTCTTGTTTTAATTTTATTCGATTGTATTTTAATTTTATTCTATTGTATTCATTCATTCATTCATTTTCCGAACCGCTTTATCCTCACGAGGGTCACGGGGGGTGCTGGAGCCTATCTATCCCAGCTGTCTTTGGGCAGTCGGCAGGGTACACCCTGAACCGGTCGCGAGCCAATCGCAGGGCACACAGAAACGAACAACCATTCGCGCTCACACTCACACCTAGGGACAATTTGGAGTGTTCAATCAGCCTGCCAAGCATGTTTTTGGAATGTGGGAGGAAACCGGAGTACCGGTACCCAGAGAAAACCCACGCAAGCACGGGGAGAACATGCAAACTCCACACAGGAAGGCCGCAGCTGGAATTGAACCCGGTACCTCTGCACTGTGAAGTCGACGTGCTAACCACTCGACTACCAGGCCACCTTCTATTTTCTTTTCTTTTACAATATCATTCAATTCCAAAGCTACACTTTCCAATGTTTCAGTAAAGTTACTCATTTTCACACACAAAATCAATCATGGTATGCAAAAGCTGTAAAAGACACTCTCCTTCTCTTCACTTGATTGACCCTCAAGAGCATTTAGAGCAATTCCACAAGTTCATCTTCTCAGTTGAAAAATCTTGCCCGCGAGTAAAATAGATAGTATTGGAGACGACAAGATTTTGGTTCTTCTGTTGACTCTTATTTTCTTTCTGCAGGATGTCAGCGTCTCGCAAATGTTTGTGCTGCGTCAAATATGTGATGTTTGTTTTTAACCTCATCTTCTGGGTGAGTATGAGCAGATGTGAATCCCTGATCGTCCCATTTCAACGCAATCTACATAGATTGCGCAGTTCATGCTACCGTGTCTTCGAAACAGCTGGGAGGATGTGGATTGTTCGGCGTTGGAGTCTGGCTGTCGTTCACCCAGTCCGAGTTTTCATCTCTTCCTCTATCCTTCCCGTCACTCTCGGCAGCCAATCTGCTGCTGGTCGCTGGCGGGATCACCATGGTAACGGGCTTTCTCGGCTGTCTCGGGGCTCTTAAGGAGCAACGCTGGCTGTTGTTCATGGTAGGACCACATATACAGTCTCAGCACTGTCCCGCTCCCTTTTTTTCGAGGTCATGCTGACGATGTCAGTATGCTGAAGCAATTGATTATAATGAAACGGGTTTTTAACTGAACACCTCTCCTCCATTGCAGTTCTTTGTGATCCTGTTGCTCCTTGTCCTGACAGAAATAGCTCTCACACTGGTCATACACATCTTTCGAGATCAGGTGAGCTCACCTTCACACACACATTTTTATGTTTTTACTGACACTGTCCAGTAGACTGAGGGACTGGCTGTTTGCATTGGCAGTCAGTAGGAAATGTAGTGAGTAAAAAGTGTTCTTTATAAAAGCAAGGAGTTGAACATTGAAACAGTTATTTCGACAAATGACGAGCAACTTCTGTAAATGATAATTGTTTGGTTTGATTCAGTGATCGAATCATTCAAATATAATTGTTTTTAAAAGGTTTTATATATATATAGATATATACCCTGTATATATCTATATATAGCAGTACATATGCTACACTATCCATTGTTGTTTATTTTCAAACACACACACACAATTTTATTCACGCCAGGTTTATATAATAAGATAACCTTTATTTGTCCCACACTGGGGAAATTTGCAGTCTACAGCAGCAAAATTGGGGGGGAAGAAAAAACAAAACAAAAAAAACAAAGTGTTTCATTGCACAAAATAAATGTTTCATAAAGAACTGTACACAGTTCAATAAAAGTGCAATATAAAATATAGCATTAGCAATACAGTATATTTGTTGAATAAATATAATAAATTAGCAATAGAATAGAAAACATAGCATAAGGTGGCTGTGCTATTTACAATGGTCACAGGTTTTCACGTTTTCATGTTTATTCAGCAGCCTGACAGCAGTCGGGAGGAATGAGCGGCGGTATCTATCCTTCTTGCAGCGCGGGTGTAACAGTCTCTGGCTGAAGGAGCTACCCAGTGCTGTCAGGGCGGGCTGGAAGGGGTGGTAGGGACTGTCCATCATAGCTTTTAGTTTAGCGAGCATCCTCCTGTTGCCCACCTCCTCCAGAGTGTCCAGGGAGCAGCCTAGGACAGGACTGGCCCTCCTGACCAGTCGCTCCACTCTCTTTCTGTCCTGGGCCGAGATGCTGCCTGACCAGCAGACAATGCCATAATGGATGGCCGAAGCCACCACGAGTTATAGAAGGTCTTTAGGAGTGACCCCTGAACCCCAAAAGACCTCAGTGGGTCTGTCCCTTCCTAATCAGGGCGTCCGTGTTGGTTGACCAGTCCAGTTTATTGTTTAGAAGAACACCCAGGTACTTGTAGGAGGTCACCCTCTCTATGTCTGTACCCTGGATGTTCATCAGTGCAGGGGAGGACTGTTTCCTGCAGAAATCCACAACCAACTCCTTAGTTTTCCCGGGGTTGATCTGGAGGTGATTCTGCTGGCACCAGTCCACAAAGTCTTGTACTCCTGATCGTCTCCCTCTGTAATGAGGCCTACAATTGCACAGTCGTCAGAGAACTTCTGGAGGTGGCAGGTTGGAGTGATGTGCCTGAAGTCTAAGGTTTCTCAGCATTCAAGAAGAAATAAATAAATTCCCAATATTGAGGGAGATGTTGGGTGTGGGGGCCTTACACCCATCACCTCCACTTCCCATTTTCCATGTATTGAATGTTTAATGTTGGGAGAATTTTTAGGGATTAGTTGTTGCGATTTTTTTCCAATTTGTTGACCGGGCGAAGATGCTCGAGTTTCACACTCAAGACTTGAATAAAAAAGTTTTAAAAGTGGTCATATCCCCCCGCCCCCCCCAAAAAAAGTTAAGAAAAGTTTTTGTTTTTTGCATTGTTAGAGAATGGGCAATACCGAGATCAATGAAAAACATCATGAGTGATCCTTCACAGAAACAACAATTAGTAACTATCTTTTTCATTTTGTTGTTAAGCCAGTATTTTGCAGGTGAATCCCACAAGTTAGAGACTTACGTCAGTCATTTATTTGAAACAGTGCTGTCCTTTCCTTAATTGGAAAGGAAGCCCCTTTTCATCTCTCCTTGACCTGATGATGTAATCCAAAAAATGTGAAGGAAAGGTGGCATCAACGTTTGGAGATTGGACTTTCAGAAGAGGCCCCTAGACAAGACACAAGAATCTCAATGAGTTGACTGGAAAAAAAAACGAAAGACCGGGATGACAAGCACAAGTGGACACAATACGTAACGAGACAGACTTTGGAAAAAGAACACAAAAATCAAAACATGACAAAACTAAAATCTTATCAAAACCAAAAATCAACCGAAATCAGATCATGACAATCAGCTCCAAAATCCTGATTTTTTTTCTCTCTTCACCACTTGGAGGACATTTCTTTCGTTTTTTTTCTTTCAATAGATACTTAGACAGAAAGGTTTACGTTGTTGTTTTTGTTTGCATTTTTGATCACAAAATACAGAAAACCCATTAAATATTTGCGGAACACAAATATTGCTTGATCTCGTCTCGATTGTCAAACAGCCTCATACAAATGTATTCTCTAATGTACATTCTTGTCCCCATTGCTCATATTTTACAATCACAAAATGCAAGTCACAAAAACAATATTTAAAAAAAAAAAAAAAAGACATGAAATGTGTGTTTTGTTTCATCACTTCCTTGTAATCATTGGATTTTTAGTCCAGGAACTATTGCCCGTAAGGCCGCAAAGGAAGTCTTGCTCAAGGAATTCTAACTTCATTTTCAGCAAAGAGAATAAGGTCGAAGTAACATCTCATGATTAATTGACATTTTTGGTGGACAAAGTACTAATAATTTAACCCTTTCAGGGACAGCGGTTACTACAGTGGACAGCTTATCAGGTTTCAGGGTGCATGAAAGGGTTAATCAACATTTATTTGGAAAAGTTGATCAGATACAAGGAGAGTTGTCTCTCTGTACAGCCATTTATAGCAGTTCACATGGCTGATTTTAGTGCAGCTGACTTGAGATTGTTTTGGCTCTAACTGTTGACTGCGTGTGATTAACTTGAGACAGGGTTCTTTTTGACTGCGTGTGATTAACTTGAGACAGGGTTCTTTTTACAGTGACCCTGAAGGGAATTATCCTGCGTAGATATTGTAAAAGTGACTGAGAAGTAGGCATACAGTATCTTTTCTCACCTGCCGTTTTGTGGTTTGTTTATGAACCACAGTAAAAAAAAATGATAAATGAATGAATAAATACATTTGATACCTTTCCCTCTGCTTTTTGTCAGATGGATTCCAAAGCACAAGGTGAATTAAAGGAGGGGATGAAAAATTATGAATCAGAAGTTGGATTAAAAAAATCTTGGGATAATGTCCAAAAAATGGTAAGTATAGAAAACAAGCAAACCAGCAAAAACAAAAAAACCACAACAGTTCTATTAACATTACAGAAGAAGCAGCAGTGTGTCCCAATTGTGCCTAAATTAAATAAATAAATATATGGTTCAATAAATCATCATGAATTTATTTCAGTATTTTTTAACTATTTCTCTCTCTCTCTCTCTCTCTCTCTCTCTCTCTCTCTCTCTCTCTCTCTCTCTCTCTCTCTCTCTCTCTCTCTCTCTCTCTCTCTCTCTCTCTCTCTCTGTCTCTCTCTCATATATATATATATATACACACACACACACACACACATACACACACCCTAACCGGACACTTTGTTAGGTACACCATGCGAGTAACGGGTTGGACCCCCTTTTGCCTTCAGAACTGCCTCAATTCTTCGTGGCATAGATTCAACAAGGTGCTGGAAGCATTCCTCAGAGAGTTTGGTCCATATTGACATGATGGCATCACACAGTTGGCGCAGATTTGTCGGCTGCACATCCATGATGCGAATCTCCCGTTCCACCACATACCCAAGATGC